TTTTCTCTTTGAGGCTCGGTACAGAGCAGCATGCTCTTCCTCTGGTTGAAGCCGTGGCCCAACTACACCTGGGCTCCACTAATTTCAAGCTCTGAAAAATGTTTTTCACATGGGCACCCAATTTTAGTGGAGCCTAGGTGTATCAACTTCAACTTCAAAGTACTGTATTATAGCTTGGAAGAGGTTGACCCAGCCGAGAAGTTTGTCCTCTTCTGGTTTTCTAGTTTTTTCGTCCAATAGAATTCAAGTTACTCACATGCCATTTTTGTCCCGCTACTGTTCCTAAGATGTTGCACCCCGCCTTTGAGGGGCTCCCGAACAAGGCCTGTGTTGCATGCCAGTGATGTTGGCCCTCCCTCGATCCCTCATCCTGAGTAGGTCAGGGGGCAATGTTCTGGTCCCAGAAGGTTCGACAGGCCTGGCCCAAATGCAAATGGATCATTGAACTCGAATGATCTGACCTGTCCGAGTGTGACCGTAGATTGTTTTTGCTTCTCCTTTGGGTGTACACCCTGTTTCTCGATGTTTGAACAATCGGGAGCCCCGGCTATAGTGCACACGTCTGCTTGGATTCAGCGGGCTCGTGCTTGCAACCGAAATGCACTTTAGGAGAACGGTAGACAACGGTTAATGAAAACAAACGTGCTTTTGAGTTTGGTTTTGTGCGGCAAAAGTGCTTATACGGTATGTTCTAGGACCAATTTGGACGCATTGATGTCAGTACAACCGACTTGTCAATATGGCGAAGGTCAGTGTGGTGCAAAACAGGGTGTAGACACCACTGGTTTGAATACATGGCTGTCTGAATGAACTGTCAGATTTACGCATTTTGGACTTCGTACTCTACAATATGAGATTGGTTTTAGCACCTCCGGAGTGCAGTATCCCAGCGGGAAAGGGTCGTCAAGCCTGACGACTCTCTGACGACTTGACAACATGCTGCCCCGGGTAGAAAAAAACTAAACATGTTTCTCTCCAAACCCAATCGTCACCCTGACAACTGCAACTAGATCGCTGATAATCGTCCGGGCCCACCATTCTCTGGTTGGCTGCAGATGTTCCTCTAGAGGACGCATACACTCTCGGATCCGCTTTTGCATTCGGTCACGTAAAATGTTATTCTTCACATGCTTAGCAGGTCTGGTTTTCTGTAAATGATCCTCAGGCCCTAATGCGCGGGTCATTCCTTTGTCATTCAGGGCTCGCTCAAAGCGGTTTCGTACGGTTTACAACGTTTTGGATATTTTCAACTATCGGCTTGGACCATTACGCACCAGAACGAACCTTTCGAAGTCAGCTGTAAACGAACGAATATGACTAGCTGTAACGCCTGTGGGCAAGTGGGTTCACTACCGCCTGTGACCATTTCCCACCAGAACGTTCCGCTGCGCCACCCTTGTTTTGACCCATCGGATAGCGAGGCGCTACACCCACCCTAGTCTTCCACCTTTCCTAATGGCTTCCCCAAGGGCAGACTCGATTGCGCGAAATCCCGCGAGCCCGTGATTGAAAGCGGCTGCTGTCATCCTTCTCCTTTCCGCGTTGCTCGCCGCCTTGTTCGTTCTGCGCTTCCCCCCGTCTGACTCGTGTAAGCCAGAGCCGTGCGAGTAGGAACAGAAGGGGGAACAGCGTCAACGTAGGTGCCTGTGGACTTCCAGGAAGCCATCTATGCGTCCATAGCTGCCTGCCACTAAGAGGAGTAGGGACCCTCTATCGCCTCCGCGTAAGAGCGCGGAGTCGGGATGTCAAGTGCATCCGGGTCTCCCTCAGGGGTAAGCAGTACAGACACGAGATGAGGTGAAACAATGGCCAAGCACTGGAACTCCTCCTGCCTGCTCTCAAGGACGCCGTGCCAAGGGCACACTCACCCCCGACGGACGGAGGACAGCAGGACTCAGACTCAGCAAGAAGACTGGCGGCGTAGTCTAGGCGACAACGAGCAGCAAAGTCGACGAGCTCAGCAACTAGGGCAGACGCAGCAGTGGACTCAAAAGAAGGGTCAGTGACGACAGTAGCAAGGAGACGCGTAACAGTAGGACTGGCAGCACGAAGAGAGTCCGACTCCGGGTCGGCAAGAGCATGAAGAGAAGACTCAGGTTGAGAAGCAAAAGAGGAAAGCATAGGAGCAGTGGACGGACGGAGAGACATCCACTGCGTGCTAGGGTCAGGAGGAGGACGCTGACGCGAACAGCGACCACTAGTGCGAGCAGCACAGACATGCGACGCAGGGCGAGACGCAGACTCACGACGCTCAGCAAGACCTCCAGTAGGACCAGCGTAGGGAGACAGAGCAGGCAGTGGGGAGGCGGGCTGTAACTGTAACTGTGACGGGACAGGCTGTGGACACTCTACGAGAGGAGGACCAGTAGAAGACGGGAGACCAAGAACCTGCTGAAGGAGCAGAAGGAAGTACAGACGAGGCCGCGCGGCAACTCCAGACATAGCAGGGACAGCACCAGTACCCCCAGCGGCAGCACCAGCACCAGCAGCACCTTTAGCTCCAGTACCTCCAGCAGCACTAGTAGGACCCCCAGCAGGACCGACTCCAAGACCGACAGCAGTAGCCTCTGCGCGAACGCCTGCAGCAGCTCCAGCTCCAGAAGAACCCGCAGGCCTAGCAGCTCCTGTACTCCCAGTATGAGCACCTCCGAGACCCGCGGCACCTGCACCGTCAGCAGCAGTAGAACCTCCAACTCCAGCAGCACGCCTCCAGCCTCGGACAAACCACTCACGCAGCTCCTGTGGAGAGAGTGGGTCCCGGGGAGACGAAGCACCCGGAGAACCGCCAGACACAGCACCAGCAGGCTCCGCTCCCTAAGGCTCCGCACCCTTAGGCTTAGCAATTCCAAGCGTAGCACCCCCAGGCTCAGCACCCCCAGGCCTTGCACCCCCATGCGTAGCACCCCCAGGCTCAGCACCCCCAGGCGTAGCACCCCCAAGCTTAACACCCACAGACTCAGCACCCCCAGACTTAGCACCCCCACGCTCAGCACCCTCCGCAGCACCAGAGTCACCAGTAACCTTGATAGTCTCAACCGCGTCTACCTGGGATACACCTGAAGGGGTTGGACCCTGAGGGGGGAGGGGTTCTGTTTGGGGGGACCTGGCACAAGGAAGAGCGGTGGCGGGGGGAGAGACGAAGTGCGGTAGGGGAAGAGACGGTAGTAAAGGACCGACTCGTCGAACGTGACATCCTGGGAGGACAGAACACGGCGAAAGGTGGGGTGGTAGAACTGCCACCCTGGCTTGTTAGGGGGGAAACCCAGAAAGACGCAAGGAGCAGCACGAGGGGACAGCTTTTCCACAGACAAGTCGCGGACAAACACCCGAGATCCCAAGACACGGAATGCAGACGCATCGCAAACCTTTCCCATCCACAGCAAAGCTTGGGAGGTCTCCGGCATGTAGACCCTGGGCTGAAGGTTGATCTGATGAGCCGCGAACTGGTCTGCAAACGGCCACAGAAAATGGGGGGCAGCCGCATGGATCATGTACGTACGGGCGACGTCCATGACCATGCTAATGCAGCGCTCAGCAATCCCATTTTGCTGTGGAAAGTCTGGAAGCGTGAAGGTCCGGCGGATGCCTCGTGCACGACAATAGGCTTGTAGAAGGCCAGAGGAGAACTCTCCGCCTCTGTCAGAGTGCAGACGCAGAACATTAAAGTCCGAGCCGAAGCTCCGCCTGAGCTGGAGACGAGCTGCGCGGATCTAGTCGATCAACACCTCAGTGACATCACCCTTGCTGCGCAAGGGGAAGACTGTGGTGTAACGCGAGTAGTCGTCAACCACCAGTAGGAAGTAGCGGTCGTGACCCTGTCCATGGACGCGGGCCGGGCCCCACATGTCCATGTGAAGCATCTGCAGCGGGGCGTGTGTCCGAGGAAACTGGGAGGAGTGAGGGGCAGCCCGCTGCCGCCCCTCGACACAGGGGACGCAGGTAGGGCCAGGCCCCGGAGGAAGGGGAGGGAGGGACCGGGGAAGACCAGAGACAAGGACACGGGAGGCCATGCTTTGGAGACGAAGCAAGGAGGGGTGACCAAGGCGGTGGTGCTAGAGGAGAGTCTCGTTAGACAGGAGGCGACACGAGCAGGGGAAAGACTTAGGACCAAACCTGGACGCGGCAGCAAACACCTGACCCGACGCGGCTACCTGACCAGACGCAGTGAGTGGAGGAGACGCAGTGGTCAGTGTGTACAGGCTCGACCCTGGCCGACGTGTAAACGTGGCCAGGTGTCGGCCTGTCCGAGCGTCGGTGCAGTGGGTCATCCGCCAACTCAAAGGATTGAACTGGTGAACCCCCGCATCCTTTAGTTCAGCACCACTCACCAAGTTCGTAGTGAACGATGGGAGGTAAAGACCAGACAAGGTGCCAGAGGGGGCCATCGGACACGGGAGGACAGTGGAGAAGTGAGCAAGGACAGGACCCCCAGAGGGGTTTGCCAGGGAGACTGCAACTGGCCGACCAAGCGGCGTGAGTGTAGTGCGGTCTCGAAAGAAGGAGCCAGAAGCCCCCGAGTCAAGTGTGAAGGTGTGGGAGGCCGAAGCCGATGCAGTACCTGAGAGCGGAGACGGCTGCCAGCTGGTCAAGCTGCCAGCTATCCTCTCCTCTGCCAGTTTTTCGAGTTTCCATTACCGTGACGGTTACTACTAGTTGCTGTGTTTCATGTGGTCCGGTTCTCTCAAGTCGTGGTGACATGTCCCGTTGGTCTGAAGAGCATTTGCATAGTGCATCACACCACGCGGTTTCATGCGTTGAGGGTGAGCTTCAAAGCCGGCTCCGATTTTTGGGGAGCGGTCACCTACTTACGTCGATGCATGCATCCGTTGCAAGTGGCACTTGCGTCGACGATCTACCCGCCTGTGCCTAACCCCTCATGCCTGTCCCTCTTCCACACGTCCCATCCCCTGATTTCTGCTAGCCGGCGGGGGACGCGCGTTGCTGTTGAGAGACGTCACGCGTGGCGCCGCACTTCTACTACCACCCGATGCGCGCGCGCCATGGCAGCGCAGCGCGCTGGATGCGGCATCATGGCTCGCGGCGGACGACGTCTCCTCGCGGCCCGCGCACTTTTACATCCGCAGTCACGGGTTTCCCGGCCCCGTGCCGTGGACGTGGGTGCAAGGCGTGCTCCGCGACGAGTTCACACTGGGCGGCCGCATCCAGGTGCGGTCACGGGCACTAGGCGATGGGGCGAGGGTGGGAGGGAGAGGGATGGGAAGAAGACGGGGGTAAGGAGGAGACGGGGAAGGGAGGGGAGGGAAGGGGGGGAGGGAATGGGGGAGAGAGGGAGGAAGGAAGACATAGAATGGTGAGCTAGTGGTCACTGGTGTGTGTCACATGCCGAGGTATCACGGTACTTATTCCCATACCGTGCGTCCCCCCAGGTGCGTCCACGCTTCTTCGGCAAAGAAGCAATGGACTCGGGCAAGCAGCTCAAGGCATGGCGCAACGAGGAGATCGGTCACAACGTGAACCTCGCTCGCGCCCGCAATGCGAGCTTTGGGTAGTACGGGCCCAACGCCACGGCCGCATTCCTGCAGGCGTTCAAGCGCTACCCCGTGAGCGGCAAGTTCGTTCTCGTCATCGGCAGCCAGCGGCCGTGGGTGGAGGCGATCTGCCTCTCATTCAATGCAGGCACAATCACAACCGTAGATTTCAACAAGCCCGTCTCATCTCATCCTCGGCTGCGGCTGATGACAGTGGAGGAGCTAGAGGGCACGGACGAGGTGTTTGACGTGGCGGTGTCGTTCTCCTCGCTGGAGCACGACGGGCTGGGGCGCTATGGCGACCCCATCAACCCCTTCAGCTACCTGCAGCGCATCTAGAAGGTAAGAGGTGCGCATGCAGAAGGTAAGAGGCGCGCAAGGTGAGAGGCGCGCATGCAGAAGGTGAGAGGCGCACATGCAGAAGGTGAGAGGCGCGCATGCAGAAGGTGAGAGGCGCTCATGCAGAAGGTGAGAGGCGCGCATGCAGAAGGTGAGAGGCGCGCATGCAGAAGGTGAGAGGCGCGCATGCAGAAGGTGAGAGGAGCGTATGCAGAAGGTAATGGCCTACTCCTCAGATGGTTTCCTTTGCCATCAAGTTTTGTGGTTTCCCTTGAGAAGCATGCTGTCTGCTACATGCCTGCATCGTGTTTTCTTTCACAATTGCTCTTAATTGTTTAGAACTGACGTTGGTAGTTTGCCATAATGCAACACGCCTCATGAACTCTTGTTACAGCCACTATGCTTGCTTTGACACCACTGCGAAGTCTTTAAGTGATTGATGGTACTTCTCTGTTGGCTAGCATTTTCAGTCCAAGCTGTCTTCCACACATTATTCTTCCCACCAGATCCAGGGCTTGCTCAAACCAACAGGGAGGCTCTTCCTCAGCCTCCCAGTTGGCAATGACACTCCGGTATACAACTCACACCGCATCTATGGGCCTATCCGCATGCCACTGCTTCTTTCCGGGTGAAGGCTGCTGGATGTGTTTGGACCTAGCAGCTTGGAGCAACTGTACCGCGAGCATCAACATGCAAGATACCACCAACCACTCATCGTCCTGTTTAAGGGCAAATCACCCTAGCCTAGATTTGGCCCAGCTTCAGACTGTTCATTGAAGAAAAAACGACACACGCTTAGTTGCAACTGCCATTGTCATGGAAAAACGACTTGCTTTGCTCGCATACTTTGTACAAATTGTGGAGGCGTATTTTTTGGCCTCAGAAAAGTACTGACCGTTGTACGGGGTGAACCCCAGTGTAGTGAGTCTAGTCTGGGGTGTGTATACCAATTTGGGATCTTCAATGCCTATTTGTTTTTGCATGCTACCGTATCTGTATAAAGATTTTAGACGACTAATTACGGCAGTACCTGCACGTATATAAGATGAAGTGTTTCTTCAGGGGGGTGGGGTCAGGGCTAATTTTATCTGTGTAAATCACCCTGATACCCTGATTATCAAGGTGGTTTTTGGTGGTCACACTGATGGCCTAGAATAATTTTTTGGGGAGCTAGGATTTTCCTGATATGCCAAGGTTTACATTTAAGGCACACTGATGCCTCAGGGTTACCGTTCTTCATAACGAGTTTTACCCTGAAGCGAGTACCATACCCACCCCCCCCACTTCCCCCACCCCACCTTTCCCGTAAGCCGGGATTCACGATTGCTAAGTGTCGAAACCGGAATTTCAGCCTGCTGAAGTAACTCACGACGAGCAACACCCATGAGGCATGTACCAGTATTATGATCTAAAAAATTCATTGTGTGAAACCATAATATCAATTCATCAGGGTTTGCTAAACTGGTACACTGATGCCACAGGGATGGATTTTCAAAAAGAAGAAAAACACTGATGGATCAGGGTTTGAAGAAGGTGTCACACTGATAATCAAGTTTTTGAATACCGTATTCTCCCGGATAAAACACCCCCCCGTAATTGTACACCCCCGGGTAGCTAATACGGGGTGGATGTCCCCGTTTGTACTATACCCCCCCTTTTGGGGTGATTTTCTATAACACCCCCTTGTTCTTATAGATTCCTATTACAGCTGTTATCGAGTCGGATTCCTTACGGGAGGATATCGCGAGAATTGCTCCCTAGGTGAAATTTCGCGTGTACTTTCACTTAAAATCTGCCAAGATTTCCCCCCTCCCACAATCTCGTTGTCGCCAGCCTGGCGAATCTTCCGCTGCAAGTGGCCCAACAGGTGAAAATCACCTTCTCACATGAGGCACAGACACGTGACCAAACCAGTCAAGAAGTGACTGGTACAGTAAGAACGCACCACCGTGCGCGATTCTGGCCTCAGCGGTTGCATGAACCCTCGCCACGCAATTGCCCTTGTTTTCACCCTATCAAGTGCCAAAATTGCCCACTCGAATATGCCACGTGGCAAATTCCAGTGGGCGGTCACATTATCCTCGTATACTCGGTTTTGCCGCACTGGTCAACAATCTTGAAGTGAAGTGAGACACCTGATTTTGTTTCACATCTTTTCTACTTGATAAAAAATATACCATATAATAAGACCCGGGTATTATGTAGGATTTTCTTTTGAGGAGACCCCCCCCATTTTCTCCCAGTGGTTTTCATAATACCCTAGGGTGTTTTATCCGAGAGAATATGGTAGGTGGAACACTAATCACAAGGGTTGCTCAAATCAAAAATTTAGCCCTGGGCCGCCAAGCATAATCACGTCCATACAAATTTGTGTCGAACTGCTAGCGAAGCGAAATGCTCGCAAGCGCTCAAGGCCACATGCAAGAGAGAATTACTGTAGAACCTGGATCGGTGATTCATCCTTACTCGCGAGGCCTTGAATTCCTCGTGTGGCCACCAAATTTGGTGATAATTGTCAAGATACCAAGCATCAATGATTGCATTGAGTGAAATATAGGTACAAGTACTAACCCTAACTTCGAGTTGTACACCATACGGGCTACCCCAGTATAGCCTAGACAGAACTAATACATAAATAGTTTGACACACCCCCATAGACAAAGTGGGGGAGAATAAGGGGTCTCAAGAGAAAAACAAAGCGAGCTCGGGGTGGATCACAACGTCACCACACACTCGAGCACAAGCAAAGAGCAGGGACGTCGCCAGCCAAAAAGGCCGTCTTAGAATCAGACAAAAGTTCTTGCATTAGTCTGAGTATCAGACGGATTTGTTAGCACTGTCTGACGTTTCAGATGAAAGTGGTTTGAAATGTTTGTCGGTTCAGACAATGTTTAAATACTAGTCTGTAGCTAACATTAGTATGTTAGAAGTTAAACCTACTCAGTCTCGCTATCAGATTCACTAGAACTATCAGAGCAAGAATCCTCGTCATCATCCTGTGATGCTACGACTACTTGACGCTTCTTCCTCCTCCACGCGGGGATGAGTGCCTCCTTGGCGGCTACTTTTTCTCTCTCCCTCGCCGCTGTCGCCTCTGCTTCACGCGCAGCTCTTGAGGCTGTGGTTGCTGCTGCTTTCGATGCTGCTGGATGCAGCTGCTTGAGCCGCCGCTGTTGCACCCTTTGGTCGCTTCACAGAGTGCCCCGCCTGTGCCATCACAACCTCCTTAGCTGGCTGGCGCTTCTTGCTCCCGTGCCACACCGACATGATCCTCTGCGACTCCAGCTCGTAATCAAGCAACGACACCGTCATCAGCTCCCCGAGGGTTGCATCGCAAAGGTTGCCGCGAATCTAGCTCTTGATTAAGTTTTGCCGGCTAAGCCCCCGCTCGCACTCAACTGTGCTGAGCGGGAGCACGGCCACTGCCATCCACAGCCTTATGAGGTTCAGGTAGGCTGCGGTCCAATCGTCGCTCGCAAGCATGTGCTTTAAGCTGTCATGGAACGAGACGTCCTAATGGTGGGTAGCGATGATGTTGGTGAAACTCCACAACTCCTTCTTAGCCTTGCCTCAGGGGATGCCTGTTGATCCAAATGATAGGGAGGAGGCAGACACAAAGGAGACATATGAGACGTGGTTTAATGTATATTAGTGTCAACATTACAGCATGGCACGTCTTTGACTCACTTGGAAGTGTGTGGGGATCACCCGGCTTTTTCTTGAACAGATCTCTCAGAGACTGAAGCCACTGAGGAAACCTGCTTTTGCGCTTCGCCCGAGAGCTAGGATAAGCACTCTGACGGAACAGCCGCGCGCCTTTCAGAGTCGAGAGGTCTTGCATCTGCTCGGTGAGGTTGGAGATGACTTGTGTGGCAAAGTCTGTGGCGAGTTTGATGCACGCCTGCAGGTCCGATCCGCTGGTCTTGCCCTTCAGTTGCTTCTCGTGCAGTACATGATTGTGGGTGGTGGGCGTTCCGTCCGCATCAACACCATCCACTTCGACTTCACGCTTCTTTATGTTAGCATGAGCTTGCAGGAACTTTGCCAGTCTGCCGCTGTTGTCTTCGAAAGTCTCCTTGTAGTCGACGTAACGGCCGTTGAGGGTGTTCACAACGTGCAAAAGGGCCGGTTGTACGACCGTCACATCAACCTGTTTTTAGGGAGGGACAAATAAAAACAATGGTTTAGGTCAAAACATGCTAGGATCAACGTGTCTTATGCCTGGGACGAATAACATCACAAGAACTGTTCAGCACTCCTTACCTGACGACACTGAAACTTCAAGTTGAGGATGTTCAGCTCCTTCAATACATCCGCAAGGAAGTATAGAAAAAACTGAAACTTGAAGATAGTGACGATGTCGTACCTTTCTTCTCGTACTCGTACAAGAGCAGGACCGCTGCTGGGAGCACCTCCGCGAATCGTTCAATGGCATCTCCATGGGAGAGCCACCAGACACTGTGAATTCCCTGCAACTCGAGGTAGGTTACTGAAACCACCTCTTGCAGCTGCATGAAACGTGCGTGCTTTGGGCCTGATCGGCCGAGATCTGCGACTTGACGTACAACTTTGTTGATGATTCCGAAGTCTGAGAAAGGTGTGGCTGCATCCTTTATGGCTAAAGCCTCTCTGCCAATAAAAAACTGCAAAGTAAGAACACCATATTGCAACTGAAATGCGTCAGTAAAGACGGGTTTTGTAAAACAACGCATACCTGTGAGCGATACAATGACATGAGACCAAGTGAGGTACTCTTGTACGCAACCGCGCCACCAAGCCGGTTTTACAGCCCGTCATCACGCTGGCACCGTCGGTGGAGATGCATGAAAACCGCATGAGATCCACTCCATTCCCTTCAAGGTGAGTTAGCAGGACCGCCATGAGGGACGCCGCATCACACTTGTCAACAGACCACTTGGCGAAGAACTCTGTGACGACAACCCTATGCTTGAGAAACGTGAGGTACACGATGAGATGTTTCCCGCGCCGCCTGTCGGTGC